CCAGGGCATGCTCTGTCTACCAAAACCGAGGGAAAGTGTTTTTCCATACATATAAACCGAAAAAAGAAACTTAAAACAACATTTATCAACATTTTTATGTTTCGAACACACTTTCCATGAACCTTAGGAAACACGCGTAAAATATCTGTTGCTGGCGTACGGATCTTGAAAAGGACATTCTAAAACCAGTGAGGCTTATCAACACCTTTGTAGCCTCGTGGTACACTCACTGGGCTACAGATACGAAGGTTGCGAGTTCGATCCTCGGGAATATAATGAAAACATTCGTCATTTGATTTTACATTTCATTACATGTTACAATCTGAACGGTTATATTAATAAAATACCCAGGACATCATATAAAATCCCAGGGACATTACAACGTCCCTGTTTATGAGATTTGGATGAGACTGGAAAGTAAAACCTCACAATAGGTTTTAATGCCTATAGAAAGAAGTCTTTAATTAATAGCGATCCCAATGAATAGGTTTATAAGTGAAGATATTCCAATGAAGATGCCAGGATAGGAGTGGTCTTCAGCAAGAGGATAAGAGGACACTGAAGGGAACCGGTCGTCGGGCTCGCTGATTTGCTTGATGGATGTCATCGTATCCTAATTGCGTATATCGATACCCATGATGTCAGTCACTAGATTGTATGGTCCAGAATCAATTACAGACAGTCGTCATATAGCTGGAATATTGCTGAGTCGGCAGCAGCGAGCCATGTCCAGAATGGGTGTGTTCCGAAACGAGAGTGTTGTACCCGTGTTCTGTTGATGAGCAAGGCAGGCTTAGTTGTTCCAGAAGTTCCTAGATGGGACAATTTCTAAAAGGCTGTGTGTACCTATATAAGAGCGATTCATGAACTTTACGACCTGATTTTTATCTAATTTATTTGCCAAGGGCATATTGAATACATATTTGGAAACACCGAACTCGTTTTCAGAAATCCCAGTTCCAATGTCCACGGAATAATGATTATGTTTTTATTGTTTGTTTGTTTGTTGTTTAACGCTGCATTCATCAATATTCCAGCAATATGACGTCGGTCTGTAAAATAATCGAGTCTGGACCTGACAATACAGTGATTGACATCATGAGCATCGATCCACGCAACTGGGATCGATGACAAGTATCAACCAAGTCAACGAGCCTGACCACCCGATCCCGTTAGTCGCCTTTCACGACAAGCATAGTCGCCTTTTACGGCAAGTATGGATGGCTGAAGACCTATTCTACCCCGGAATCTTCACGGGCCAATAATGATTATGACCCTATACACGAGAATAAGCGAAATCTATACCTTTGTGTGAAGCATTTTACTCTTCTTGCATTTTTGTTCGTTCTTTTCCACCGAACTGTATACATGCAACCAGAATAATTCTGTGGCTGATATTATGAGAACCAAGACCATCAAGTCACTGCTTACTGCAAATATCGGATCTGTACTAACCTGGAATCTCCATGAATAGATTGCTCGGATCTGGACTAACCTGGAATCCCCATGGAAAAATTCCTCGGATTTGTACTAACCAGGAATCCCCATGGATAGATTCTTCGGATCTGTACTAACCAGGAATCCCCATGAATAGATTCTTCGGTTCTGTACTAACCAGGAATCCCCATAGATAGATTCCTCGGATCTAGTCTAACCAGGAATCCCCATGGATAGATTCCTCGGATCTAGTCTAACATGGAATCTCCATGGATAGATTCCTCGGATCTGTACTAACCTGGAACCTCCATGGATAGATTGCACGGATCTAGACTAACCTGGAAGTCCCTAGTAACCTAGGAGTGAGTGAGTGAGTTGGGTTTAACGCCGCTTTTAACATTATTCCAGTTATATCACGGCGTGTCAGCTTAATGTGGGAGGAAAGCCCGAAGTGATGCAGGTCTCAGACGTTTACCACTTCGGTGAAACCCACGAGCACGGGTATGGTGCTGACAAACCTAGAAACATAATCGGGGCGAACCGGGATTCGAACCCACAATCATAGGTTTCCGGCGTGCCCAAGGGACGCAACTCTGCACAGCGAATCGCGGCGCCTTAGACGACTGGGCCACCCGTGCCCCCTAGTAACCTAGGAATATTGGTCTCTAGTTATTGGATGTAAAGATAGAAACAATGTTGACGTATTGAGCTTCCAGAAATAAAGATGGAAATATGAACATTAGTCAAATCATAGACATAAGAGATAAAACCTTTGAAGGATGTAGTGCCTAATTATATTCATGAAAGGAAAACAATTACGACTGCCGTAAGTCCATGTTAAGGTATTGGAGTTACGATCACCTTAGCACTACGACTGTCGTAAGTCTATCTTAAAGTATGCAAGTTACGATCACCTTAGCGCTATGACTGTCTCAAGGCTATCTTAAAGTATGGGAGTTACGATCCCCCTTGCACTACGCCTGTGTGTGTGTGTGTGGTGACATGGGGTTTAGCATCAAGGATCATCTGTTGACGTCTTTTTGTATGACGCGGCCGGGGATCAAACGCCGAACCTTCCGCTCTCCGGCAGAAGCATACGAGGACTCACGAGCGTATGTTTATGAATTGATTACACCCATGTTGGGTCCTTTTCGTGTGATTCATAATCGCATAGAGTGAGTGATTTGGATTTAACGCCGGTTTTAACAGTATTCCAGTTATATCACGGCGTGTCAGCTGAATGTGGGAGGAAAGCCCAAAGTGATGCAGGTCTCAGACGTTTACCACTTCGGTGAAACCCACGAGCACGGGTATGGTGCTGACAAACCTAGAAACATAATTGGGGCGAACCGGGATTTGAACCTACAGTGATAGGTTTCTGGTGTGCCCTAGGTACACAACTCTGCACAGCGAATTGCAGAGCCTAAGGGGACTGGACCCCCGTGCCCCTTGTAATGACTTGGAATTACTGACTGAACAACCCCATAAGATCATGGGTACAATAGATCTACATCTCCCCATGCATGCGTAAGAGGCAACTTATGAGGATCGGATGGTGAAGCTCTGGGACTAGGCTGATTGAGAGTCATTGAACCCAATCATTGCGGCCAGGTCAGGATCCAACCATCTACAGGCCATGATAGCCTGCAGGAGAAGGTTACACCAAGTCATGAAAAGATGAGGTGCGTCTGCTTGTACTAGTCTGGACTAGTGCTGATTTATAGGGATAGCCCACTGAGATACTAAGCCGAAGTTTAACATCAATACCCCTCAGACAGAGTATACAGACTCCAAGCCCACCAGTCCTTGATTAGCTCCTCAATGCCTAGCTCCAGGCAGGGTAACAACAAGTACCCTTTCGTAACGTCTTTTGGTATGACTCGCCCGGGATCGAACCTTTGGCTTACTGGATTGTCTGGTCCAGACTTGAATATTTACAGGCCGCAGTCATATAGCTGGAATATTGCTGAGTGCAGCGTTAAACAACAACAGTGTTCGAAATACCTGCCTGCCCGACCGTCCGAGACGGGTTGATTTCAACTCGGGCTGCCAGATTTTCAAATCCCCCTCCCCGACGGTCGGGTTACATTTCATAATATTCTAAATATTTCCCGATGATAAGAATTATTTACATGATGTATTCTAGGATATTAAATACAAATCTGACCTAAAAAGTGTTTGCTATTTCTTTTCTTGCATTACTTCATGTTCAATGAATTTTATTTAAAGTTTTAATTAAATTTTCCTGAGAAACATATGATTATAGTGGGCAGGCAGGTTTTGGTCAGGGCTGGCAAGTATTTCAGCTAGCCAGCCCTGTGGTCTGGTTGAAAATGTTGGGAGTTTCATACCCTGACAACAAACAAACAAACATCAAATGTTGAGTAGTATAATAGAACCACAGCACAAAACAAACACCTATTTATCAAAAGAACATACTTTATTTACAGTTATTTTCATTGTAGGTGACAAATCAGTTCACCAACCCAGGAGGTACCTAATGCAGTACATAAATAACACTAACTCAAGTGATGACAACTTCCTGTTGAACAATTACTTCTGGTAGGGGAAAATATGATGCATTGATTTTATGATGTACAACAAACTGTCAATTTGTTACACTGAAATTATGTTATAACTCCACATATGGAGTTAATAGCAATATCTTGATCTAGATCTTGATCAATGGGCACCAGGGTTCTCTTGAGTGAGTGAGTGAGTATGGTTTTACGCTGCTTTTAGCAATATTCCAGCAATATCACAGCCGGGGACACCAGAAATGGGCTTCACACACTGTACCCATGTTGGGAATCGAACCCGGGTCTTCTGCGTGATGAGCGAACGCTTTAACCACTAGGCTACCCGACCGCCCTGTTCCCTTGTTCGGTCTGGAAATAATCAAATCTGGACAAGACAGTCCAGTGATTGACATCATGAGCATAAATCCACGCAATTGGGATACGATGACATGCATCAATCAAGTCAGCAAGTCTGACCACAAGCGAGCCTAGAACAAGCATAGTCGACTTTTACGGCAAGCATGGGTTCCTGAGGACCTATTCTACCCCGGATCTTCACGGGTCCCAAATTCGTACAGGTCCTGAGGGTATGTAGTAAAATTTACTATTGGTCACAATAAGATGCACTTTATCAAATAAGGGCCTAAAGAGTTTAGACAGGGCATGCAGCATCTAAAGTCTGTGTGCCCTGATGGCAGCCTGGCAATATTCTATATTTCCAACACTGGAACACAACAAGTTGAGTCCTTTGTTTGTCAATGACAAGGCAATGTAACATGATTGGAGCGTTACCTTAGCATTAATTACCGTATTCGACATAATAAGCGCCCACGGCGATATTTGCATATATTGGCTAGTGAACAATCCCAATTAGCACCCCGTCCGATTGATCAATGTACACAAGACTTATTTGTTTGTGTATAATACGCTTTCGTGTGTTATATTCGCACTTAATTATGGGCAACTAAATTCTGGAAAATATATCTGCCATGTATGTATGATACGCACATACTTTTCTTTTGTATCATTTCAGGCTGTCAGCATAATCTACGAAATTTACAATCTTTCAACTCAAATTATTTTCTCACCAAAATTTTATTCTAATAAGAGCCCCCTATTTCTACTTTTGAGAGCGCCCCGGGCGCTTATTACGTCGAATACGGTATGTCATTTCGAATCAGACTCTAAATGAAACAATGGAGGTGTGTGAGTCCATGGCTACCCTGGATAATCGAGGATGTGCACAATCCCACTCGCACAACTAAGAAGTCACGGTCACTGTCTGCGATGTTGATGGCACGGGGGTCTTTTCTCTCTTCTTCTGTTGAAGAGCTCTCTGTCCCTCCAACTGCTGGGAATACGCGTCTCGTATACACCGGAATGCCTGGAGTGTAGAGTAGGGGGTCTGTGTGATTGGATCATAATACTTAGCAGGCTGGCGTGTGATTGGACAGAGCTGTTTGGCAGGTGGCCTTGACCTCTTCTGGGGGAAAACATCCTTGTATGTGCCTTCATCTGTGAACGTAATAAATGTCCGTTCACATCGCTCCCCTGTCCTAACAACATCCGTCTTCCTGTGAGCATCCGAACTGAAGACAGAATATTGAGAGTGAGCAGGTTGTCAAGTATTCCACATGTCAGCTTAATGTGGCAGGAAACCTCAAAGGCAGTTTTATGCAGAACTATTTTGGTAAAACTAAAACCAATGGTCTGGGTATGGTACTGGTTGGGATGGTTTGTTGATTAACGCCGCACTCAGCAATATTCCAGCTATATGACGCCGGTCTGTAAATAATCGAGGATGGGCCAGACAATCCAGTGATTAATATCATGAACATCGATCCACACAATTGGGATCGATGACATGCATGAACCAAGTCAGCGAGTCTGACCATCCGATCCCGTTGGTCGCCTCTTATGACAAGCATAGTCACCTTTTATGGCAAGCATGGTCTGCTGGCTATGGTACTGACAACTCAAGGATCATAATCAGGGAGAATGTGGAAAATAGGGGTGACTATTCGTCTTGAAATCACTTTTGCAATAACTCTTGATATTGAAAGAAACTGTTGCGATAACTATTGATCACTGTTGATATTGCAAGCAACTATTGCGATAAATATCGATAGTTTTCAGTGTATCACTTTAGATGGATTTTAGTGTTGAATTAAAACTTTGGAACTGAAGTTTCCTTTGAATCTGATAACCATAACAATAAATTAAAGTTTGAGATATGACTGATTTTTTTTTTTACCCTAATAATTTAAGAAAAAGAAATTTCAACATTATTATTTTTACTGCGAGCATGTTTCGGTGCCTCAATCCAAGATATGGTAAATACAATCGAAACTATCAATATTCCTAACTGATTTAACGATCGATTTATTGACTTTAAGTGTTTACTAATAGCAATATCGCAATTTTGATTTATCATGACACCCCTAGTGGAAAATGAATCCATGATCAGCATATCCTGGAATAGGCAAGGGACACAACTCTGCACAGCATGTAGGTCTACCTCTAGTCTAGAAGTTTGACAAACCTAGCTCATAATGAAGGTTATACATTTGTAGTCACACACCAGTCTGCGATTTTAGCCCCTCGTCCTCAGCCCGAATCAAGAAAATCCTATTTGGTCTAGTAAGATCAGCAAAAGGAAGTTAACAGTTTGAATGGCATTCTAGAAGTTTATGTGAGTGAGTGAGTGAGTTTGGTTTTTACGCCGCTTAAAGCAATATTCAAGCAATATCACGGCGGGGGACACCAGAAATGGGCTTCACACATTGTACCCATGTCGGGAATCGAACCCAGGTCTTCGGCGTGACGACCTAACACTTTAACCACTAGGCTACCCGACAGCCCCACAACCATGTGAAGAGAGGTATATATGCATGGCATGCTGTAATAAGCAGCAGATTAACATTGACATCAACAGGTAATAGATGAAAACTAGAATACAGGTTGTTGTCAAAACATCGCTATATGCAATAATCCAGAAGTTGTTATCCATAATGTTGTACTTTTTCTTAAATATAGCTGGAATATAGCGCAGCGTTGAACAAACAAAGTCATAGCACAGCATGACACCTTGATTTGGCAGGAAAGCCCGTAGTGATAAACAGGTCTAACCATGATTGTCACCCATGATCATTGGTTTCTGACATACCTAAGGGAAACAAGTCAGCATGGCAAATTAAGGCGCCGATGCCCTCCAGGCCTGGCAATGAATGACACAGCCTTTTCACACAATCATCTCCTATCATGGTCAAATGTTTTAACAAAAAGGCCCATTGACCTTGAAGTGAGTGAGTGAGTGAGTTGGGTTTAACGCCACTTTTAAAAGTATTCCAGTTATATCACATCGTGTCAGCTTAATGTGGGAGAAAAGCCTGAAGTTATGCAGGACTCACATGTTTACCACTTCGGGTAAACCAACGAGCACGGGTATGGTGCTGACAAACCTAGAAACATAATTCGGATGAACCGGGATTCCAATCCACAATCATAGGTTTCTGGCGTGCCAAAGGGATACAACTCTGCACAGCGAATCACAGCGCCTTAGACGACTGGGCCACCCATGACCCCAGTGACCTTGAAACACGTATGACCTTGAGTATCCCACCTGTCTTCATCAACATTGATGTCCGGCTCCGTGACGACCTCCTCCACAACAGGCATGGCTAGTGACTGGTAGCGGATGATCGGACCTCGGTACGCCTGCTTCGTAACCCGCACTTTCTTCTTCTCGGATTCCAGACGTTCGTAGGTTTCTGTCAACATAACAGATGATACTGAAGCTATTGCTGAGTCCAGGGTGTTAATCACGGTAGTATGGAGATACAGTTCCTTGGCTAATAAGACGGGGAATGAACAAAACTGAGGGAACATTCATTCAAAAGTGCAAATAAAAGCAAAAGTGCTGGGAAACAAAAATAATACTTGTGTTTCAGGTACCAGAATGACCCATTGCTTCCCTTTTCAACCAAATGTTTTTTATCACCGCTGACAACAGCCGTTGAGAAACCCATGTTTTACCCTACATGACGCAACACAGTGCTATTGGTCAGCGTCAGATAAGATTTGGTTGGTTGGTTTGTTGTTTAACGCCACACTCAGCAATATTCCAGCTATATGATGGTGGTCTGTAAATAGGTGAGGTGAGGTGAAATTGGGTTTAACGTCGCGTCCAAGATTATTGCACTTATATAGTGACGTGCATGCGTGTGTGTGTGTGTGTGTGTGTGTGTGTGTGTGTGTGTCTGCTTGTACTAGTCTGGACTGATGCCGATTTATAGTGCTAGCACACTGAGATACCATGCCGCAGTTTAACATGAATACCCCACTCAGACACAGTATACTGACTCCGAGCCGACCAAGTCCTTGTTTTAGCCCCTTAATGCCGTGCGCCAGACAGGGTAACAACAAGTACCATCTTTTAACGTCTTTTGGTATGACGCGGCCAGGAATCGAACCCCGGGTGCTCTACCACAAGACCACGGAGGCGGTGGTCTGTAAATAATTGAGTCTGGACCAGACAATACAGTGATTGATATCATGAGCATTGATCCACGCAATTGGGATCGATGACATGCATGAACCAAGTCAGCGAGCCTGACCACCCGATCAGAACAAACACTAGGGGCCATTCATGAGACTCTGGCATATCACTGATGATGCGGAACGCCTACGGTCTTAAGTGCAATGTTAATCCAAAGTTTGTTTAGCAGTTAGCCATCATCAAGAACATGACTTTTTGGAGATTCCAGGTCTCAAGCAGCATGGGCTTGACTAGGAGACAGGTTTAGTGACTTTGTTTATTCTGCGTCATCGTACCGCAATATCAATCAAGGTTTTTTCCTATTCAAGACTCAAGATAAACAAAAATGAAACGAACAAAACAAAATATCCTAATTTAATTTTCAGCTGTTGTCTCCAAATCTTACCATAGCTTCAAACCTTACCATAGCTTCAAACCTTACATTGGCTCCAAGCATTACTTTGGCTACAGAACACTAACATTAGGAGAGGTGAGAGAAAAGTTGAAATTTGAGTAAAAGGCAACAAGTCAAGTGGTTATTACATTGAGTTGCAAGGCAACCTTTTGACAGATGGATGGACAGACACGGACGGACGGATAGGCAGTTTATTTGTATTGTAAATATGGCCAACAGACACAACTCACCCAGGCTCTGAGTCAAAGGCACCAAGTAAAGCAGTTATTACATTGAGTTGCAAGGCAACCTTTTGACAGACAGACAGACAGACACACACACACACACACACACAGACAGTTGGACAGACAGACAGCAACTCACCCAGGCTCTTGAGGTTCAGCTGTTCTGTGATCTTGGCCTCAGCCAGAAGTTCGTCCTGTGTGAGGCGCCTGACGGACGTCACATTCTTCTTGGCGGCAATCTCCTTCATCATCTTGTTCTTCTGCTCCCGCTCTTGCTCTCGCTTGGCGGTCGCCTGGGACTTGACAGCAGTCGAATGGCGCAGCGACTTCCTCTCTACAATAGACACAAGTCCGTGGTTCCATCAGATTTCATTGGATATTCAGGGGTAGAAACTAACATAGTTAGTCCTTATACTGATAACATATAACAAAACCCTTAAATAAACCCTGATATTCTGGTGGCTGCCTGTACTGAAAAACGTATCCCAGACAATGCTAAAAAAAATAACAACGATACTTTAGACTTTTGAAAAATATATGAAATCGTCCGCCACAAAAAATACATTGTTGCAAGAAAATTTTATTAAACAAATATTTAGGCTCATAGTTTTAATACGTGGTTTTCAAGCTGCAGCTGAATATATATCTCGACCTGCTCAGAGGCCAAAGTTCGGCCCAAAATCTGCAGCAAATGTCAGTAAAAATTCCCAAATTAAGAGGTTCCAAAATCCTGTACATACACTGCGTAGTTATAACTGATGAGGGGCGGTCAGGTAGTCTAGTGGTTAAAGCGTTCGCTCGTCACGCCGAAGGCCCGGGTTTGATTCCCCACATGGGTACAAAGTGTGAAGCCCATTTCTGGTGTCCCCTGCCGTGACATTGCTGGAATATTGCTAAAAGCGGCGTAAAACCAGACTCACTCACTACAACTGATGTCATGGTGTTGTAGCCGTCACTAGTATTTATTTCACTGGTAGAGGGCCAATAAGGAAAAAGAGGCCGTAACGTTTAGATTTACATTATTGCATTGAATGTAATGTTAAAATACAATTTTAAAAGACCTCTGAATGTAAGAAGACAAAAGAACAATTAAAAATACAAATTTTCAACAAAATAATTACAGTATCCCAATGTAGTTTGGAATCCTAGATTAATCCCCGTGTCACGGCTTGGGTGACTGAGTAAGATTTCAACACTATCCCAGCCATATCTTGGCCAGGTACACCAGAAATGGCCTTAATCACACTATGTGGCGAATCAAACCCAGGTCTTTGGTATTATGAGTGACCACTTTAACCGCTAGGCTACCCCACTGTATCATGAGAGCTTAAAGAGTACCGTATTCGACTTAATAGGCGCCCCGCTGTAATAAGCGACCACAGCGATATTTCCTCATATACTGAACAGCATTGAAAACACACCAGCAATAAATCTTGAAATATTACAAAAACAACTTGAGCAATGACCGATTTTGATTAGAACAGACATAGACGGATTATAAAGAAAGACGACAAAGGAAACAGGAATACCACACTGTAATTACAATTACGTCATCAGTGTAAGGAAGACACAGGGTTAATATGAAATGTCCATATCTGGAATGTCCGCCATTGACAGCAACACAGGCCATGCAACGTCTTCTCATTGATCGAATAAGTCTGCGAATAGTGTTCTGGGGCATTCCACTCTTGACGTAGTGTATCTTCAAGTTCTCTCAGGTTCTGTACTTGCGGACGACGTGAGCGGCGTTGACCCAGGTAATCCCATAGATGTTCAATTGGCGATAGATCGGGTGACAGGGCTGGCCATGGAAGCAGAGGCACATTATTGTTCGCTAGGTACTGTGTTGAAACACGTGCTGTGTGCGCTCTTGCATTATCTTGCTGGAAGGTGTGCATATCCTGGTGCTGATGAAACAATGGGATGACGTGATTTGCCAATATGGTATTCCTGTAGTAAAGGGCATTAACTCTTCCACGACAAACATGGAGCACTGTTCGATGGTTATGACTGATGCCGCCCCACACCATGACACTCCCTCCCCCACATCGATCTGTCTGTACAACGCAGTCATTGTGGTAACGTTCTCCACATCGACGCCACACACTTACAGTCGACCGTAAGCATTCCGTAAATGAAAACGGGACTCATCAGAAAACAGCACACCATGCCACTGCCGCAATCTCCAATGACGATGCCTTTTGGCCCAACACAGACGTTCATTTCGATGTCAATCAGTGAGTATGGGTCCAACATATGGACGTCAAACACGTAGCCCTGCTGAGCCGAGACGTCGACATACGGTGTCTCACTGATCAATTCCGTCGGCCTTGTATGGTTGCTGCAGTCCTGGTAGCCGGAAGTGTACGATCATGAAGATGCCGACGAACAATATGGCGATCCTGACGTGGTGTAGTTACACGACGTTGACCCGGGCGTGGTCGATCTCTGGTGGTTCTTGTCTGCTCAATAGCCTGAGGACTGTTGAATGATGGCATTGAAACCGCTGTGCAACGACTCTACATGACGTACCAACGTTCCTTTGCTGTTAATCTTGGCATTTCTTGTGTCAGTACCCTTTACGTCTGCAGCAACAAGTGATGTGGCTTTTAAAAGTCTGTCTTTTATAGCCCTATTCTGCATGCTTCCCGTGAAACAAAACACATTTTCCATGATGTGCACGCAATTTCGCTCACAAAAAATTTAGGAATGTGTTTTGACGAGCTGTTCCTTTTCATGCTTCGTCCAGAACGTTGTATATTACTCATTCACTCATATATTTTCATATGACTTAAGCCCGGATAAAAATACATCCATTTTCATGGTGGTGCGTTTTCAATGCTGTTCAGTATATATCGGCTAGTGACCCAACCCAATTAGCACCCTTCCGATTAATCAATGTACACAAGATTTATTTTTTTGCGTATAATACGCACTCATGAAACCATAATTATGGGCAATTAAATTCTGGAAAAATATATCTGCTGTATATAAACATTTCAGGCTGTCAGCACACACCACTAAATGTATCTTTCAACTCTGTTTTTTTTCACCAATATAATATTCTAATGAGAGCCCCCTATTTGTAATTTTGAGAGCGCCCTTGGCGCTTATTATGTCAAACACGGTAATTCAAGGTTTATCAAGCTATTTTGTTGATTCTTAAGGCTCTTCAAGGCTGACAAAAAAACTCCAGGCTTTTCAATAGGGACTTAAAAATTCAAGGATTTTCTAAGCCAGTACGAACCCTGAAAATGAGGTGAGGTGAAATGGGGTTTAACGTCGCGTCCAAGATCATTGCACTTATATAGCGACGTGCATGTACATGTGTGTGTTAGTGTGGCTGCTTGTACTAGTCCGGACTGATGCCGATTTATAGTGCTAGCTCACTGAGATACCATGCCGCAGTTTAACATGAATACCCCTCTCAGACACAGTATACTGACTCTGAGCCGACCAGTCCTTGTTTTAGCCCCTTAATGCCGATCGCCAGACAGGGTAACAACAAGTACCATCTTTTAACGTCTTTTGGTATGATGCGGCCGGGGATAGAACCCCGGACCTTCCGCTCTCTGGGCGGACGCTCTACCACTAGACCACGGAGGCCGTTTTCCCTGATAATGAGCATTTCTGATTAAATGCAATGTTTTTATACTTACCTGATGCTATTTCATTGATAAACAGCACCAATATTGAGGAAGAGGATTTTAGGCTTTGTTTAACATTATTGCATTGAATGAATTGTTAACATTTAATGTTGAAATACCTCTGAATTTAGGAAAATAACAACTTAAAAAAATAATAATGGCACATGGTTTTGAATCCTAGATAAATCTATGAAGACATATATACATCCGGTTATGGAATTCCTGTTTGTTTTGGCTAAAATGTGACAGGCAGATTTGCAAAAGTAACTGACAAAACCGGTAGCAATGTGTCTGGTTTTGTCAACTCACCGTGGATGCTAGTGGCAAACTCACACCCTACATTATCGACCTCAATTTGGGAAGAAACGGAAAGAAATTTCAACCCCCTACCTGCCAAATCTTAACATTAGATCAAATCAAACCATCCTCTGAAGGCTAACTGGATCATCTACTGGTTCATTCTCTCGGATTTTCACCAAACCCCCCTCCGAAATAGGCGCATAGTGGGTCACTACGTCCAACCCCAATTCTTATGAATTTTCGAAGCATCCCCAGAAAGACATTTCCAGCACTAACAAACCGGGTCATGCAGCATTTCAAATGGACGTTCAGACGGTGGTTGACGCTAATGGTGATGTCTATCTGTCATAAAAAGGTTTGTAAGGAACAAAGCTAATGTTTCTTACATTTTGTTTACGTTTTCATTTATACTTTTATTATCGTTTGTTTCAACAAAGAAAATTACTGAACATGTTACAAAAAGCTACATACACATTGTCATGTGTGCAAATGATATGCTTTCATAAAATGTTGTCGTCTCATCATCAAACCATTTACGGATAAGGTCTACTATGTAAAGAGTTGTCGCAAAAATACTCTGAAAATGTTCTGATATTGAACATAGAAAGTTCTGTTGGGTTATCGGCAGCCATTATTATATGTTAGCTATCGATAGATTCATGAACTGACATGTACGGTTTCTGTGTAAAAGGCTTGCGAATTTAGAGGAACTTTGTTTGTTCATGATTGATGAAAAATCATTTTTGTAATAAAGAGAAATAACTACCAAGAGAAATAATTTTTCCCTGTCCCTTTGATAAAGTTCATGATGCAAAAACTATTCCACTTAGGACATAAACTGTTTTAGAAACTAGACTGTGCATACCGTATTCGACGTAATAAGCGCCCAGGGCGCTCTAAAAAATAAAAAAAGGAGGCTCTTATTAGAATATTATTTTGAGTTGAAAGATCGTAAATTTCGTGGTTTATGCTGACAGCCTGAAATGTTTATATACGACAGATATATTTTTCCAGGATTTAATTGCCCATAATTAAGGGTGCATATAACATACGAGTGCATATTATACACAAATAAATAAGTCTTGTGTACATTAATCAATTGGAAGGGGTGCTAATTGAGATTGTTCACTAGCCAATATATTAGCAAAACTCGCCGTGGGCGCTTATTAGAGCAGGGTGCTTATTACGTCGAATATGGTATTAATAGATGAGCCCCCGAATGTATTACTAACAGACTACCTTCATATAATAATATAAGTAAAATATTACTGAGTGTGGCAACAAACCAAACACACACTGTTTGAGCATTATCAGGAGAAGTCTACCGTTTGAGGAGTAGATCTGGACAGAAGAAATCTCAGACTTGGCCTTGTGTTTCTTTCTCTCTGCCGGTTTCCTCTCCGAGGCGTCTTTCTTCACAGGCTCCTGAAGAGAGGAAAGTGCCATACATTCTTCATGTTGATACAACTTACAAGTGGTTATGTTGAACATGATTGGCTACGAAGCACGCACTCTCCTTTATACCAGATGGACTAACGTTTCCTGATAATAGAATGGATGGGGCTTGTGTTGCATTACTGCACTGTACAATGTCACTAATGTTGCTTGGCCACTAGAATCGAATATTTATGAATATGCAAGCATATGCATCTACATAAAAAAAATACCCATAAGAACATATTTGATGCATAGATTCCTTCATAAGACAACACTCTTATACTATTTAATTTGACAGTATTGTGGTCACTGGTCATTGTTGCATTTGAGCAGATACTAGTACCTGGATAAATGTAGTATATAAATGAATAATATATTTAATAATATATTAAAAATTAACAAACCATGTCAAATAATTTATGTTGTTGTTGCCTCACTGAACATGCTGAATATGACAGATGAAACATCAACTGCTGACTTGTTATTGTATTCGTGAATTAGTATTCGTATTCGTTACCCTATATTCATGACACAAATTGTATTCACCTCATAGTGTATTCGTTGCAGCCCTATTAAAAACATCATAAAACTCCCAAATTGAAGTCACCCAATATATCAAGCATGAAAAAATTATATTGTGATACGTATCGGGGAAAGAATGAACCTCCTCAATATATCGATATACCGATAATACACCATGCCCTTACTAATCAGATGAGTAGGGCAAGGTTAAAGGGGAAGTGTACACGCAAAAATCTCTTTCTTTCTTTTTCTAAACAAAACGCAATTTTAGAATTAATTAGTATCTGTGTTTGAAAATATACACTCATTTTTTTCACAGTGAAAGTAGGAAGCTCACAATAGTGTGAAAATGATATGCCGTTATGAGGCCTTCATTTTTCGAGCTAAACAGGCCTGAGTTATCCCCCTTAGATTATGACGTAATTGGTGCCAATTCAACTGGGTCCCTGTCTATTCTCAACGCAAAAGATATCAAGTACCAGTTTGCGGTAAAACAACATGGCCTACGACACACTCCGGCGCAGTGGTGACTCAGCATAACACTATGCTGGCTGGCATCTGAGACGCTAGAATCACACACCTGTACCTACACCACGTGAAGCGGCTCTAACAAAGCATGATGACGTCATAATGTTTATCAATTGGCACCAATGACGTCATATTGCAAGGGGCATAAGCCATGGTGTTTTTGTTCTGGAAATAGAACACTTGGTAAATGTGAAAAATATAAATCGTTTTAATGCGAAAAATATGTTAATTAATTGTGATATTTTTATATTTTTGTCTATGACACTTCTAGGTTAACACTTTTAATGTGGAAAAAGTACAAGAAAAATAGGTTCATTTCCGTGTGAACTTGCCCTTTAAATTCAAGACAGTCTCAAGTGAAGGCATCTATTGTCTATGCTGTATGGGGATTCTTCCCCTGAAAGGCCTAGAGATGTGCAGTATTACTGACATACCCCAATATGAAGAACTAATGAATACGTATCACAATATGTTTGGAAAGTATTGGTACATTGTGTTTTTCAAAATCATGTATATTTTCATCTTGATGCCAAAGTTTACAAAAGCATGGAAAGTCAAAAGTCAAATTGAAATGATGAAATTGAAATGAAAAATTAGCAACTGTTCCCTGTGATCGAAAAAGCTTAACTATTCGTGACCAGCATCCTGTACATAATGTGTCTATTACTGGTGCATTGTGACCATAGAAACAGGAAACAAAGTTGTAGACGACCACAAAGTTGTCAAATAAATCCTGTACATTATGTGTCTATTACTGGTGCATTGTGACCATAGAAACAGGAAACAAAGTTGTAGACGACCACAAAGTTGTCAAATAAATCCTGTACATTATGTGTCTATTACTGGTGCATTGTGACCATACAGGAAACAAAGTTGTAGACGACCACAAAGTTGTCAAATAAATGCTGGGAAAGTATTTTATAGTCAGGTTCATATTTGTTTGGTTTCTTTGTTGGTTTCTTTGCGCTTTGCAATAATATCTTTCCGTTCCATTAACACCTTGCAATTTGACTGCATCGGACACCATCTGAATATAAATTCTCTAGAACCCTCATAATTCAAATTGGTTTTGATTATGTCATAGATATGGTCTGGAGTTGGTTGGTTTGTTGTTTAACACCGCACTCAGCAATATTCCAGCTATATGACGGTGGTCTGGAAATAATCGAGTCTGGGCGAGACAATTCAGTAATTGATATCATGTGCATCGATCCACCCAATTGGGATCGATGACATGCTTCAGTACAGTACTGAAATGGAGCAGCCATATAATTTGTTTTTACATAAAACATTTTTTTTTTAAAAACCTCAGGAGAAGTATTTTTTTCAAGGATTTCAACAGATTATTATTTTGTTTAAATCCCAGGCCCTCAGCATATCAATGGACTTGCTGTTAACAAGCCTGTTTGCAGACTGTCTCCTTACCTTATAAGCTTTGGTATCCACGCCCCTCTTCTTACGCAGAGGTTCATCATCGTCCAAATCGCTGCGGGCTTCGTCATCTTCATCAATGTCTATGTCAGAGTCTGTTGCCTCCGATTCAGAATTCTCAGACTGGTAATCATTGTCTTCAACTTCCTGAAACACAAAGGAAACATATAGAGATGATCATCACATACTGTCATACAGACTTTACATAACGAGGGTCAGAATTTTTGTATTTCACGAGCGAAGGTTACACATGTTTTGTAAAATCAGTATGGCACAAATGTGAGCGTAATAATTCCTTTATTACCAAATATAGGATTGCTCCATGATAAATCACAAAGAACACTGAAGAACAAAGCGTGGTTAAATTCACGATAAAACATTTCTCTATCATGACGTCTTTTTTGGATGTTTGAATATGCTCTTGCAACTTGATGGCATCATATATTGAAGAACGTTATATTTTAGAGGGAAGTGTCTAGTAAGTTGTTACCATAGATGTAGCTGGGCTACGCAGATAAATGATCACATCCAAAGGTTGGAGAGATATGACAATAGGTATCAGAAGAAAAGGTACAGATAATCAATGTGAGGATTGTGGGAATATGCAGGAAATACCAAACTGAACCAACAAGTTCGTAGAATGGACTTGTTCGACATTTCCGAGGTCGGAATCTATTCAGGATGCCATCATTATCAAAATTTGGGAAAATATTTTAAAAGCTTGTACATTTTATCAGCATCTTTAAAGAGACTGTACATAATGTTGATATCTCATATAAGAAATAAAGCCCTGCCACCACCATCGCTCGCATCTCTGATCACAGAATTTTGTATTGGACAGCTACTGGTCGCGTCATTTTTTATGAATCGAGCTAAAAACAAATCGAGGGTGATATGGAGATATATTACACTCAGTTTACTGTGCCTAAATCATTGCACGTCATTAATGTCACTTCTTTTTTCTGGACCAGACTTCACCATTCACAGGCAGCTGTGATAAAGCTGGAATACTGATTGATAAATGAAGATGTATCTTAGGGGACAAGAATTACTGACAAATTCTGTTGAGGACAGCAAGCAGTCTCACCTCTGTAAAGCCCCCATATGTTGTCTTATAGAAGTCATCTTCCTCCTCGTCATCAAGGAGACGAGCCATCTTAGCACCAGCATTGCTCCTTTTCTCTCGGGTTGCTGCCATGGTTGTTATCTGAAAACAAAGTCCAGATTTCTCTTAAATATATATTTGAAGCATCTAGGCTAGAAACAACAATCCAGTATGGTGGTGACTGATGAAGGTTTGTGAGCATACATCATGTAAGTCAAGCACCAAATGTAATTTTCCATTAATCATGTTAATGTTTAGATTTTGATATCAATTTCACGAAAAAGAATGAAGTCAAAGTGTCAAAGAAAACAATTGTTTTTGTCCCATATTAAGAATGGAAAAGACATTCCATTGCATATTTCTGTTCAAATGATTAACATGTGCAACAAAATTGAATGGTTCGATAGAGATTCTTTAGATAGTTAGTCTCGTCTCGACTGAAGAGAGAAATCGACCAGTTTTTTTGCCAAAACAACAACAAAATCAGTGCAAAGTAAATCAGAAACTGAAACATTTAAACTGCACTCAGTAGATCATTGCACAAAAATGTCTTTTATAACCCACCTTTCTTCTGTAACCTTTCTATTCAACTGATACCCAAAACAAATCAACACATACCGCCACCGGAAGTTTACACTTTTATTACCTCCGCAAACAAAGAGTAAAGCCGATTATCTCCCTTGTCTCATTACGCCAACAAACTCCACGCCAGCGTGTGCAACCCATATTGTACTGTAGAGTTCAGGGTGTGGTTGTACAAAGCGATCTTAGCGCTAAGGTGTTCGTAACTCCCATACCTTATCATAGACTTACGACGATCGTAGCGATAAGTTGTTTTTGTACAACGGCACCCTGGGAAAGATCTTTTGTGGCGGGGAGCTCGATATGCTTGATCACATGCAAGGTTCTATATTAACCGTGTCATGCTCAAATACTTCATAACAATTGCAAGTATATTTAATTAATTAAGAACTGACTTTGAGTTCATTTAGGATAACTGTGTTTTCAATGCAGATCTAGGTTACATGTAGATTTAACCGCGCTAAATTTAATTTGGAACCGCACTTGCAGCCGACTTTTTGACTATGGGTTTGGGGCCGTTTTGACATTTTTTTGTGGCCGTTTTGACTTTTTTGGGGTCAGTATTGACTTTTTATGGCCCGTTTTACATGAGGCCGTTTTGACTACAACCCAGTTAAACAAGCAAACTGTACTCACATTAAATATGTTCCTTTAATTAAATCAAAGACTATCAAAATATTTTCATTTCAACAAGTTATGATTAGTTGGTTAAATGCTCGTCTCTGATGAAAATATTTCATAGATAACATTTAGCCGAGGAATCGTCTCGGGGTGATTGCCGAATTGTTTGAGGGTGCGCATGTCATATTATTACCTTACTTGTTGATGTTGATGTTTTAATACGTATAATTTTTTAATACTTTGTTTTGACCCGTGAAGATCCGGGGTAGAATAGGTCTTCAGCAACCCATGCTTGCCGTAAAAGGCGACAATGCTTGTCGTAAGAGGCGACTAACGGGATCGGGTGGTCAGGCTCGCTGACTTGGTCGATGCATGTCATCGTATCCCAATTGCGTGGATCGATGTTCATGATGTCAATCACTGGATGTCTGGGTCCAGACTCGATTATTTACAGACCGCCGTCATACAGCTGGAATACTGATGAGTGCGGCGTTAAACAACAAACTAATACTTTATTTGACCATTTTCCTAAATCTTGGACTGTAGGGGTAATTGTTCCTTTGTTTACAAAAAAAATGTGATGTTCACTCGCCAAATAACTATAGAGGCGTAACTATTTTGAGTATATTTAGTAAAATGTATAAATATTCTATATTGAACAGAAGATGGTCTTTCTGGACTGCCGCATACAATAGGATTGTTGAATCTTAAGCAGGTTTCCGTCGGATATTCCCCCTATTGATACTGTTTTTATTCTGCAATCAATATTAGAACGTTATTTATCAAAAAGAAAAGGGAAAGTATATCTAACTAATAGATGAAAACTTTGGTCAATATTATAGCAAAGAGGTATTTCTCCAAAAATATATAAATCCATCCAATCAATCTACAACCACGTATCTGCTTGTGCTAAAATTAATCATTTTTATTCACAGCTGATTGATTGTGACAATGGTGTTCGACGGGGATGCGCTCTCAGTCCTTTTTTATTCTCAATGTTTATAGATGAATTAGCGAAAGAAAGAAACAGTTCATGTGAATACTGAATTCAGCTTCATCCAGATATCACTCAGATTTTTGTTTTGTTTTTGTAGACGATATCATATCAATATCAGATACTGTATTTTGTTTACATAAACAAATTGACATCCTGGAGCAATATTGCTGTAAGTACCAGTTGACTGTCAATTTTGAGTGACTGAGTGAGTATGGTTTTACGCCGCTTTTAGCAATATTCCAGTAATAATCACGGCGGGGGACACCAGAAAAGGGCTTCACACATTGTACCAATGTCGGGAATCGAACCCGGGTCTTCGGCGTGACTAGCGAACGCTTTCACCACTAAGCTACCCGACCGCATTGACCTTCCACTCTGTCTGAACAATATCATATTGCTCGCGTGGTCATCGTCTATATATAATCTCGGGAATCCCACTGTTACGGGGATTACCCATGTCATAATACCCTTGGACTTTAGACCCCTCCTGTGACATCATCTATTGTTTTCGGAGGTTTCTGATATTCGTATCTTTTCAAAAAAGCTGTATCCGCCTATGAATACAGCAACGTTGTCGACATCACGTAGGAAACTATGCCTATGTTCACGTGCCCCCTTTGCAAATAAAAAATACACAGAAAAATATGGCTTCTTGCGAACTGTGGAAATAATTGGAGACATGTAAAAATAATTTTTGTTTATATATTTGTCAATTATCTTTTTGTACAGCGAAACGCCGTTGGGCAATCTTTTTTTCTGTGTGTTTCCAAGCTACATCCGAGGAAAGAAAACAAATGTGAAAACTTAAAAATAAAATATTTGAAAATGTAAATTTACTCAACTTTTAAAAAAGTTTCAATTATGTCACAAAACATAAAAATGATAAAACTCTTATGTTTATTTTAAGAGAAACTCCGTCATATTACTCGACCATATTTACTTTCAAAATGCTTGAACTCAGATATCGCTATGATACTCCAGGCGAAAATGAATATGTATTAAATACAGTTCCTGGTGATTGGTCGAGCTGTATTACTATTTATACCGACAACACATAGATAACAACAATAATGTGACGTCAACAGTATTTTAATCCGCCGCAGTTACCTCCCCTAGATACAGACACAACCGATGATGACGCTGAAACAATTAACAGTCTCATGCAAACGCTGCACGTGATTTTATCTCGCGAGGTGTCAGTTATGCGAGATTGGGGATGACATGCGAGTATATTGGCCGTTAAATATTCAAGGATGGATCATATGACGAGAGAGTCTTGCATGTACCAAACCCTGTGTAGATCTGATTTTATTTGTTGATAAATTATGGATGCTCCTCAAACACTGATGTTGAGTAATCAAGTCACTGTGATGTCCAAGACGGATGAGGCGAGGCCAGGGAGGTTGAAGTTGGTGCTGCTCGGCAACCAGCACGTCGGCAAGACGTCACTGTTGCAGCGATATGTGAACAACGTGTACAACCCAGCGTATACACACACAAGAGGTAGGCAACCTTAGAATTTCGTTTTTAGTTGTGTTTAAAAAAAAAAAATACTCCAGAGGACAAGTGTTAATCTTATTTCACTACTCCTCCGAGTGTCTAGCTCGTCAGACCCGGGGGAGGGAATTTCAAAGTGGAGGGGTGGATGGGGTGCAGTGGATGGGTGGGTAGATGGGTGTGGAGGGGTAGAAATCTGTCCCAAATGATCATTTTCATCGTGTTTTATTTGTACATTGAAATTGAAATACATAATTTGGATAATTGGAAATACTAGAACACTTCACTACGTTCAAGACCGCCTCCGTGGTCTTGTGGTAGAGCGTCCGCCCGGAGAGCGGAAGGTCCGGGGTTCGATCCCCGGCCGCGTCATACCAAAAGACGTTAAAAGATGGTACTTGTTGTTACCCTGTCTGGCGCTCGGCATTAAGGGGCTAAAACAAGGACTGGTCGGCTCGGAGTCAGTATACTGTGTCTGAGTGGGGTATTCATGTTAAACTGCTGCATGGTATCTCAGTGAGCTAGCACTATAAATCGGCATCAGTCCGGACTAGTACAAGCAGCCACCCACACACACACACGTGCATGCACGTCGCTATATAAGTGCAATAATCTTGGACGCGACGTTAAACCCAATTTCACCTCACCTCACTTCACCTCACCTCACCTCACCTCACTACGTTCAAATTTTCTGTCAGTTTTATTCAGGTCCAGTTTGGATCAAAACTGAAGATTTAGGAACTTGTTCACAATGACAGCCCTCATATGCAACATGTCAATGATTTTGATTGTTTGTTTGTTGTTTAACGCCGCACTCAGGAATATTCCAGCAAATGACGGCGTTCTGTCAATAATCAAGTCTGGACCAGACAATCCAGTGAATGACATCATGAGCACCGATCCGCGTAACTGGGATACGATGACATGCATCAACCAAGTCAGCGAGCCTGACCACCCAATCCCGTTAGTCGCCTTTTATGACAAGCATAATCGACTTTTACGGCAAGCATGGGTTGCTGAAGACCTAGACAACCCCTGATGTTCACTGGTCACTGGTCAACGGGAACTACCATCATTAGGATGTCCTCAGCGCAATTTTGTAGTCTCGGGCTAGCGGACTAGAGGTCTGGGGGGTCTGTTAGTTTTATCTTTACATATTATTGCTAATTAACGTTTGGCAAGTTGATTTGTAATTGTGCCGCCCTTTCCAATGTTGTATCGTCTTCAGTTAACACTGTTGTTGGTTCGAATCCCAATTTCAAGCATTTTTTTAATTCTTGGTCTCTAACTACCCTACGATGCAATTGTTTTTACCCCCACATGACAATGATTGCGTGAGTGAGTGAGTAACGTCGCTTTGAACAATATATCATGGCGTGCCAGCATAATTTGGGAGGAAAGCCAAACATGCTCTAGGTATTTCGTTGGCGCCTGGCGTGCCCAAGGGACGCAACTCTGTACAGCGAATTGAAGCACCTCAGACGACTGGAACACCCATGTCCCACGTGGTCAAGTGAGTGAGTGAGTGAGTGAGGTTTTACGCCGCTTTTAGCAATATTCCAGCAATATCACGGCGGGGGACACCAGAAATGGGCTTCACACATTGTACCGATGTCGGGAATCGAACCCGGGTCTTCGGCGTGACGAGCTAACGCTTTAACCACTAGGCTACCCGACCGCCCCCACGTGTTCAAGGTGTTTGCACGGAGAAGAAAAAGGTTACATAAAACTCCACATTTCTTCAACATTAAAGTATAAACGCAACGCACACAATAGAACTAAAATATCGGATATAATCGTCAAATATAATTGGGAAAAATAACGTTAGAAATGAAGCGCTTGCAATCTTCGTTTAAGCATTGAGTGATAGAGGGGTCAAGTTGTGTAAAATAGATAGTTTATCATCAAATAAGGGAGTTTATCAAGAGGTTGCATTGACATAAAGGTGTTTGTAACACGAGTAATAAAACGTATGAGGGAAAGGTCATGTTAGAATTGGGATATTGAAGATAAACCGGAATGCGACGACAAACAAGCCAATGCATGCATGTGGGTAATTATAAGAGGTACGGTGAAATTGGGTTAACGTCGCGTCCAAGATTATTGCACTTATATAACGCCTGTGTGGCTGCTTGTACTAGTCCGGACTGATGCCCTTTTTTAGAGTGCTAGCACACTGATATTATGCCGCAGTTTAACATGAATATCCCCCTCAGACACAGTATACTGACTCCGAGCTGACCAGTCCTTGTTTTAGCCCCTTAATGCCGAGCGCCAGACAGGGTAACAAATTACCATCTTTTAACCTCTTTTGGTATGTAACTCGCCAGCCAGTGTGTTACACGCGGCAATAGTAAGACCGAGTTAAGAGCAATACGGAAACAGACATTTTAATCATACGATCAAATTAGTATTAAAATGAAAAAGAAGAATTGCCAAATCAAATCGGCAATGCACAAACCTTCAGTTTGTTCTACTGATTTAAGTTACAGTGAGTGAGTGAGTGAGTTGGGTTTAACGCCGCTTTTAACAGTATTCCAGTTATATCGCGGCGTGTCAGCTTAATGTGGGAGGAAAGCCCGAAGTGATGCAGGTCCCAGACGCTTATCACTTCGGTGAAACCCACGAGCACGGGTATGGTGCTGACAAACCTAGAAACATAATTTGGGCGAACCGGGATTCGAACCCACAATCATAGGTTTCTGGCGTGCCCAAGGGACGCAACTCTGCACAGCGAATCGCGGCGCCTTAGACGACTGGGCCACCCGTGCCCCCGATTTAAGTTACTGGCGCTAAGGTTAATGCCGTTATTACTAGGCTACATTGCTATCTGAATGCTACTAAACAAAACTAGTATTGATCTTTATGCCGTCAGAGTTTCGCATGACCTTAGCCAGAGACCAACAGGTACGTTTGGGGGTAGTGTTAGTGAAGGGGTGAAGGAGCTGGGTTTCATACTCAAACAAACCAATCAACCAGTACGTCAGGCGTGGTTGATCGTGTGCCATCGTACCTCTAAGGCATGGATCGTTATTCACAATATCAGTCACTGGATTGCCTGGTCCATAAACGATTATTTACAGGCGGCGTCATGTAGCTGGATCATTGCGGGGTTAAACAACACGCAACAACTGATATTATGTCGTGATGTACCTCACGTGTTACAACTTGTCACGACATAACACACCCACTCCTCATTTGAATCGTTTCCATCGTGTCACATGCGTTCTGGAAATCCCTCGAGGTGACGAAACACCGACTGTTCTAAAAATAACCATTATGCGAAATATAGAAACTATTTATGACATGCCGTAAGAAATGGGTTGTCTGTTTAGATAACGCCTCAAAAAACATCCCCATGCCTTCTTAACTTGGTACTAAAATAATCGTATAGATATGTCCTATTCATAAAGAGTGAGTGAATAGATGACTTTGTTTCAACGCTGCGAGTATTGTGCTGACAGACTTAGAAACATAATCGGGGCGAACTGGGATTCGAACCCACAATCATAGGTTTCTGGCGTGCCCAAGGGACGCAACTCTGCACAGCTAATAGCGGCGCCTAAGACGACTGGGTCCCCCGTTTCCCCCCCAACGGGACCCTGAAGACACACAGGACGCATCTCAGATCTACGATCGTGCAGCGAACTGGTTACATACAAATCCATTTGACATACTAATTAACATTCCATATATTTAGAATTACATTCTCATCTTGACAACACAAGCTGTTATATAAAGCGTGAAACACATGATATTTTCTATCCCATTCATTGTGAATATGTCTGTTTGTCTGGCCATACGTGAACAAGTCATATCCGGTTTGTGTGACACGTGACGTCATTAATGTAGTGTTTGCCTACTGACTCTGTACGTGTGCCCGTGTAAGGGCGGAAGTGAGACAGCGCTAGCACAACTGCTTATGAAATCATATTTTTAGGTTGTTATTTATCAAACCTCGATCTAAAGGGGTCTGGGGCTGATAAGGGGTCTCAGGTTGATATGGGGGTCTCAGATTGATAAGGGGGTCTCAGGCTGATATGGTGGTCTGGGACTGATAAGGGGGTCTCAGGTTGATATGGGGGTCTGGGGATAATTAGGGGGTCTCAGGTGGATAAGGGGGTCTCAGGCTGATATGGGGGTCTCAGGCTGATAAGGGGGTCTCAGATTGATAAGGGGGTATCAGGTTGATATGGGGATTTGGGGCTGATAAGGGGGTCTCATGCAGGTTGATATTGGGGTCTCAGGCTGATGAGGGGGTCTCAGGTTGATAAGGGGGATAAACAGATAATCCTGAACAAGTCGAGCAATATGAGGCCGGGCGTTGTCAAGTTGAAAGGTAATGCCTGGGCCATGACCACGCAAAAACGGTAAAACAACAGGGCCGATAATCTCGTCGCGGCAGCGCTGTCCATTGAGATTTCTTGCTGTAATCCTCGAATCCGTCCATCGCTGTGGCTGAGGTGAAAACTCGTGAGTGAATAGAACTTTTCCCCACTGCATGGCCGTCCAGCGTAGACGCTGTCTGCGCCACTGTAGACGTGCTTGACGGTGGTTTCCTGTCAAAATGGGATGTCTGGCGGGTCTTCTGGCGACAATCCCTGCACATCTGAGGCGACGACGGACGGTTTTTGAAGATATTCGTCGAAGGTCAGGGATGCTTCTTGCAGTCACTGTTGCTGGCTGGAATCGATTTCGTAGGTGTGTTTTTCGAATCCAGTTGTCTTGTCGATTATTGGTTACGCGTGGCCTGCCACTCCGAGGATGGTCTCTGACTGCACCAAATGGTGTTTCTGTAGACGTTAAATTGTCTTGCAACATCACGTTGACTCGATCCTGCTTCAAGCATACCAATGGCTCGCAGACGCTCATTTTCGGACAGGCGTGGCATCTCGTAATGTTGAATAATTGCGTAATTTTGTTGTTTTCTGAGGGGCCAGCACGATGCCTAACAATGCATATGGAATCCCGTTAACGCACATATTTTTATACCCATTCTTGGGTAGTGAAATACATGGGACTTGCATAAAAGTCAACCTTTGCATGGAATGCATGCTTTTCTGTAGCATTTGCGTTTTTGTGACTTGATTCCATACATGTACTACAATATGGAAGACCAAACTTTACTTGTTTGAAAAATACACTAAAATATTGGTGCCACAGGAACTTTTGTTGTTGAGTATATATATGACAATAAGGCGGTAAATGAAACAATATACTTACTATCAAGTGCATATTTACATTTCAGAGCTTCTTTCACGAACGTAGCACATTTGAAAAGGATTGACACATCATGAGAAGTCAGTAATTTGTGAAATTTACAAATATTTGATGAAATATGCCATTTCGGTATGTACTTATGTCTTAACGATACATATGCCTCGCAATCAAATATGAAATGGAGTTCATCTTCAATGCTATTAGTATTACACATCCTACAAATTCGGCTGACAGTTATAGCTTCTTTACATCTGATATTACAACGCAACGGCATTTCATGCAATCTCAACAAACATATATATGTCTTCTTAATTCCCTAACATTGATGATACCGCCTCCGTGGTCTACTGGTAGAGCGTCCGCCCGGAGAGCGGAAGGTCCGGGGTTCGATCCCCGACCGCGTCATACCAAAAGACGTAAAAAGATGGTACTTGTTGTGACCCTGTCTGGCGCTCGGCATTAAGGGGCTAAAACAAGGACTAGTCGGCTCGGAGTCAGTATACTGTGTCTGAGTGGGGTATTCATGCTAAACTGCGGCATGGTATCTCAGTGGGCTAGCACTATAAATCGGCATCAGTCCTGACTAGTACAAGCAGCCACACAAACACACACACGTACATGCACGTCGCTATATAAGTGCAATAATCTTGGACGCGACGTTAAACCTCATTTCACCTCACCTCACATTGATGTTTGTAACATAATATTCAACAGCAAGCAATGACTTAATATCCTTATAATGTGCAAGTCGTTTTGAAACATTGATAATCCTAAAAATATTTTGTTTTCCACAGTCTTCTAATCTGTCTGAACATCGACAGAGAATATGAAATATCTTGACTAACCCATGCATATCCGAAGCCATGCGTGCATAACAACAATCTTACACAGGATGCCTATGTCTTCCTTCCTGCTGAATCTAACTTCTTACTAAGTAGGTAACATTGTCTTGGATAACGATCATCTGACATTCTTAACAATTTACACCAGGACTTGACACATTTGTGGTAGTAATCTATATTAAGTCCGTGTCTACCGCAGTCGGCTAAAGCTCAATCTCATTAAAATCACACCTCAGTTCTCGCTACCGCGTAACAAAAATCTGAGGACATCCCATTACGGCTCATGTCAGAACGACCTTTCATCCGACCAATCAGAGAATCGCTTACCAGATTATGAAAGTGACAGTCGGAATGTGATTTCTAATCATGCAACCTCGAAAACTTTAACTCCGAACGATAGTGACAGGTTTAACGACTGAATCCATACAATCTAGACCCTCTATTAGCCATACCAGAATGTTCTTTTGTTCGGGTTTCAAATTTGTAATCGAGAATTTGTCAAAATATGTTTCGAAGCGTAGTCGCAAATTTGATAGTGCCGTAAAGCACGAGAAAGCTGCCTTCTGATTGGTCATTCCATTGGTCGGTCAAAGTTCGCGCAAGGTCGGTCTGACGTGACCCGTAATGGGATGTCCTCAGATCTTTGTTAAGCGGTAGTGAGAACAAAGATCTGATTTTAATGAGATTGGCTAAAGTTGCACTACTCGGCACATGCTTACCAACACCCAATACATATTTACAAAAATTATTATGAAATCTTTTAATAACAGCTCTTTCTTAGAAGCCCCACATCTCCGCCCCATATACCAAAATAGGTTTTATTTTACAGTCAAACAACTTCAATAACATATTTACAGTAATATTTGGGTATTTATGCTGTGTTTGCTTAATAACAAACAGAGCTTTACTGGATTTTGAAACAAGAGTATTTGTACACAATGTCCATGACAACCTGGTAGAAAACATAATACCTAAATAATTATAATAAGTTGAGTGTCCGGCGAGGAGCCGTGATATTGCTGGGATATTGCTTAAAGCGGCGTAGAACCATATTCACTCACTCGAATGTTCGAAGACAAGAAAAATCCGAGAGCCATGATATTGCTGGGATATTGCTTAAAGCGGCGTAAAACTTATTCACTCACTCACTCACTCACTCGAATGTTCGAAGACAAGAAAAATCCGAGAGCCGTGATATTGCTGGGATATTGCTTAAAGCGGCGTAAAACCATATTCACTCACTGACTTGAATGTTCGAAGACAAGATAAATCTGATTAGGACTGTGGGGATTCGAACCCGGGTTTTCGGCATAACGAACGAACGCTTTGACCACCAGGCTACCCCACCGTCCCCCTATAAATGACAAAGAGGTGCTTCGTTTTCACGGATGATGAAGCGACTTGCTACAGAAACCAGTGAAATACTGACAGGGTCCGCCGGCACAGATAACCGGTGGCAAAGCACGCTTCCCTGCTAAATATACCAACAGTTATCTCCTCTGCTATGCGTCCTGCGACCCCAACCCTGATATATGCAAGATTCACATGTTTCCCATGTTGCACGGACGTATGGACACAGATGGAAGTTCAGTCACCTTTGACCTATGAGGTCAGGGCACTCATCACGTGCTCAATCGCCCCATCACACGGCCTGTCTTTCGATGTAAAACAAACGTCGTATCGATATCAAGGGAAGCGTGAATTGATTGAGTTCACAGCCCGGGAAGGGAAGGGGATGTATAATTATTTTGTTTAGCCTGTTACAAATTTAAAAATACAATTTTCACTCCTAATATACCACGTGACCTTGTTTGGTTAGAAGCATGATACCCGTGAAGATCCGGGGTGGAATAGATCTTCAGCAACCCGTGCTTGCCGTATATGGAGACCATGCTTGTCGTAAGAGGCGACTAACGGGATCGGGTGGTCAGGCTTACTGACTTTGTTGATGCATGTCATCGTATCCCAATTGCGTGGATCGATGCTCATGATGTTAATCACTGGATTGTCTGGTCCAGACTTGATTATTTACAAGCCGCTGTCATATAGCTGGTATATTGCTGAGTGGGGCGTTAAACAACAAACAAACAATAGAAGTGTGAGCGACGGCAGGGCCACTGTGAGGTTACCCTGCGAATCGGACATACACATCAGATCCATTATTTCGCCTCTTGTGACATGCACAGGTTTCTCCTGATTATTTCTTAAGAAAACGAGAGAGTAAGTGAGTATAGTGTTTACGCCGCTTTTAGCAATATTCCAGCAATATCACAGCGGGGGACACCAGATATGTGCTTCACGTACTGTACCCATGTCGGGAATCGAACCCGGGCCTTCGGCGTGACGATTAAACGTTTTAACCACTAGGCTACCTCACCGCTCCTAAAAAACCCGAATAAACACTGACTATCTTACATAACGAGCATATTTCTCATCCGCAATTCACTGACTACAAAATCAATCGGTGATGATAATATTGTTATATGTTGTGATACGCTTCATATATAGAGGTTATCACGCGAGTGTGTTTGCGGATGGTAAATATTCTGCATTAGGAATAAACATTGTATTTGGCGAGCCTTGGCAAGCTAAATACATAGTGTTTATTCCTAATACAGGATATTTACCATCCCCTAACACACAAGCGTGATAACCTCTTTATCATTTAATGTCATTCTTTAATTCTGTGCTTCAAAATCGCTTTCCCTCTCTCATAAACATTACCGAAACATTGCGAGTTTTCCTGGAATGCGCGCATTAATATATTACGTCACAGGGTAAGTGATGTGTCAGTCGGACAGTGACAGTAGCCAATATAGTTCCAACTGAAATCTGTTTCTTATACAGTGGCGAAGCAACATAAACGCAAAACAACAATTGTTTTTAGTTGCCTTTCGCGGCAATCCATCGGTCTGTCCGCTGGAGTAACTGCCCTTTGTCAAAGGGAAGCTACTCTAACCCTTGTCTATGAGACGTCACGGCCACGGTCAGATGTTGTTGACAGTCGGTCTGTCCTGTCATAACGTTAAGCGGTGTAATCAGATGTACGTACAGCGACAAAACGAAACAAGGTAACAATTCAAACATATTTCGGCCAAATCCAACTATTTTAATTTGTGGAGAAGGTTTCAAGCCGCAGAGGTCTACAAGCACAGATATGGCTACTGATCCCGCTTGGCTAGGCCTCGTGCCCTCGCAAAATTGTTTCTCCAAAGTTGCCAAAACTTATAAAATGCCTTCGCTACGTCACAGTTAGACACTGATTTTCAGTATATTAGACTGTTCTTTTGATAATGATAGCAATTATCTCTGTAGTTTATCCAGATTCCCGATGGTTAATTCTGACTCGATCGCCGAATGACAAGGGCGACGCCATGTTTGTTTATAAACAGTGAAAGTAGTCCCTACTTGACCTTTGATATTTGCATCTCTATCCGCATATGACCCCAACGGATATCGTTTTTATCCGTTGGCTTTATCCTGCCGAAAAACCTACCCATTATATGATAAATATATATATATATATATATATATATATTATGGGCACACCAAGGCGCCGTAATTCGCTGTGCAAAGTTGCGTCCCTTGGGCTCGCCAGAATCCTATGTTTGTTGGTTCGAATCCCGGCAGCACCATACCAACGCGGTAAACGTCTGAGACCTGCATCCCTTGGGGCTTTCCTCCCACATTAAGCTGACACGCCGTGATATAACTGGAATACTTTTCAAAGCGGCGTTTAACACAATTCATTCACTTTGTAAAGATGAGTGTTTCTTTCAGGTGGCGACATATTCAAAAAGGAAATGATGGTCGATGGCAGACGAATTAAACTCAAATTTATGTAAGTTTCACACATGCGGGTGGCGTTGCTAGGTGTTATGATTATCAGTTTACCTCAGCACCGACACTGTCATGGCATTTCGCTAACGCTGATCGACCCCTGAAGATACCGGGGTAGAATAGGTCTTCAGCAACCTGTAAAAGATAACTATGCTTGTCGTAAAAGGCGACTAACGGGATCGGCTGGTCTGGCTCGCTGATTTGGTTGATGCATGTCATCGATCCCAATTGCGTGGATCGATGCTCATGATATCAATCACTGGATTGTCTGGTCCAGACTCGATTATTTACAGACCGCCGTCATGTAGCTGGACAATTGCTGAGTGCGGCGTTAAACAACAAACCAACCAACCAATCAAACGCTGACCAGACCTTTTTGTTTCACTTCGTAAACGTATTTATCTTCAATGTTTGTCTTTCTGGTATGGTAACTTTAGCTGCTGGCGATCTACAGCCCGTTTTTATAATGTGTCGCCTGTTATAATCTGATCATTTTATTGTTCTGAAACTAGTTTTACAATTATAATCCGTGATATATTGCTAGTTGTTGTACTGTCCTTCGACGACAGGTTTTTTTTATATAATATAAATGCATAACTTGCCCAAGTAACGATATGGCTGAAATAGTGCCGATGTGACTTTAAATATTAACTCACTCACTCCACTCAGTGTTTGTCAAGTTTTGCTTCACCATCTTTAGGGCGATGGCAGGGTAGCCCAGTGGTTAAAGCGTTCGCTCGTCACGCCAAGTACCCGGGATTGATTTCCCACATGGGTACAATGTGTGAAGCCCATTTCTGGTGTCCCCCGTCGTGATATTGCTGGAATATTGCTAAAAGCAGCGTAAAACCATACTCACTTACTCACTCACTCACTCATTCCCATGTCTGTTTTTTTACAGGGACACGGCCGGGCAGCCTGACATCAAGTCTCTTATAAGGAGTTTATACAGAGACGCCAACGTAAGTTCACTGACAGCATATACGTCCCGTGAAGATTCCTGGTTAGAATTGGTCTTCAGCAACCAATGCTTGTTGTAAGAGGCGATTAACCGGATCAGGTCTCCAGACTCGCTGACTTGGTTGATGCATGTAATCGTATCCCAATTACTTAGATCGTTGCTCCTGATGTCAATCAACTAATATAGCGATTCCCACATTAATTGATCGTACGGAGTGATTTACTCCCTGAAGATCCGGGGTAGAATAGGTCTCCAGCAACCCATGCCTGCCGCAAATGGAGACCATGCTTGTCGTAAGAGGCGACTAACGGGATCGGGTGGTCAGGCTCGCTGTTTGTCCATGTCATCGCCTGACCCCGCCCTCTTCACCCTGACCCCATCCTCCTCACCCTGACCCAATCCTCCTCACCCTGACCCCGCCCTCTTCACCCTGACCCCATCCTCTCCAGCCTGATCCCACACTCTTCAAACCCGTGAAGATCCGGGGTAGACTTGCCGTAAAGGCGTCTATGCTTGTCGTAAGAGGCTACTAACGGGATCGGGTGGTCAGGCGCGCTGGTTGCTTGATGCATGTCATGGTATCCAAATTGCGTAGATCGATGCTCATGATGTCAATCACTGGATTGTCTCGTCCAGACTCGATTATTTACAGACTTCCCACATACAGCTGGAATGTTGCTGAGTACGGCATTAAACAACGAACAAATAGTGATTTAGTAGATTTGGATTTACAATCTGGGATTCGAAACCCCGAACATAGGATTCTGGCACGTATGAGGGACGCAACTCCTCCCGGGCAATACTGAAATGTTGTTATTGTTGTTTTGTTACAAAGGGCATTATGGTAGTGTTCGACGTGACGAACGAGCACAGCTTCGAGATGGTTGAAGGATGGATCGACAGAGTGACAAAGGTGAGTCGTTGAGGAATGGGTAATGTCATATACGCTCGCAACGAGATGACAACCAAGCTGAAGTCCCGTGAAGATCCGGGGTAGAACAGGTCTTCAGCAACCCATGCTTACCTTAAAATGCGACTACGCTTGTCGTAAGAGGCGACATTTGATCGTATCTCATTTGCGTGGATTGATGCTCATGATATCAATCACTGTATTGTCTGGTCCAGACTCGATTATTTACAGACCGTAAATAATCCAGACCAGACAGTCTAGAGATTGACATCATGAGCATCGATCCACGCAATTGAGATACGATGACAGGCATCAACCAAGTCAGCGAGCCTGACCACCCAATCTCGTTAGTCGCCTCTTACAAACAAGCATTCTCGCCTTTAACGGCAAGCATGGGTTGCTGAAGATTTATTCTACCCCGGATCTTCACGGGTCGTTTACAGCAGTTTCACGGCTTTATACATTGTGAGTGAGTGAGTTTTACGCCACGTTTGGCAATAGTCCAGCAATTCACGGCAGGGGGCAACAGAATGAGCTTAACACACTGTACGCATGTGGGGAATCGAACTTGAACCTTCCAGTGGCGCTTAAACCACTGGGCTACCCAACAGCGTCGTGAAGAAAAAGGTTAAAAAAAATAGAGACCCGTGAAGATCCGGGGTAGAATATGTCTTCAGCAGCCTATGTTTGCCGTAAAAAGCATCAGTTGTTATGGTAGTAGTGATAGTGGTAGTGGTAGTTGTAGTGATGGTAGTAGTAGCGGTTGTGGTAATTGTAGTGGTAGTAGTAGTAGTAGTAGTAGATTAGGTAGTGGTAGTACTAGTAGAGGTGGTAGTGGTAGTAGTAGTAGAGGTGGTAGTGGTAGTACTAGTAGAGGTGGTAGTGGTAGTAGTAGTAGAGGTGGTAGTGTAGTGGTAGTAGTAGTAAAGATGGTAGTGTAGTGGTAGTTGTAGTCGAGGTGGTAGTGATAGTAGAGGTGGTAGTAGTAGTAGAGGTGGTAGTGGTAGTGTAGTGGTCCTGGTAGTGGTAGTTGTAGTCGAGATGGTAGTGGTAGTAGAGGTGGGAGTGGTAGTAGAGGTGGTAGAAGTAGTAGAGGTGGTAGTGTAGTGGTCGTGGTAGTGGTAGTAGTAGTAGAGGTAGTAGTTGTAGTGTATTTGTAGTAGTAGTAGAGGTGGTAGTGGTAGTAGTAGTAGAGGTGGTAGTGGTGGTGGTAGTAGTAGAGGTGGTAGTGGTAGTTTAGTGGTAGTAGTAGTAGTGGTGGTAGAGGTGGTAGTAGTAGTAGAGGTGGTAGTGGTAGTGTAGTGGTCCTGGTAGTGGTAGTAGAGGTGGGAGTGGTAGTAGAGGTGTTAGAAGTAGTAGAGGTGGTAGTGGTAGTGTAGTGGTCATGGTAGTGGTAGTAGTAGTAGAGGTAGTAGTTGTAGTGTATTTGTAGTAGTAGTAGAGGTGGTAGTGGTGGTGGTAGTAGTAGAGGTGGTAGTGGTAGTAGTAGTAGAGGTGGTAGTGGCAGTAGAGGTGGTAGTGGTAGTGTAATGGTCGTGGTAGTAGTAGAGGTGGTAGTGGTAGTGGTCCTGGTGGTGGTAGTAGTAGTAGAAGTGGTAGTGTAGTGGTAGTGGTGGTAGTAGTAGAGGTGGTAGTGGTAGTAGTAGAGGAGGTAGTGGTAATAGAGGTGGTAGTGTAGTGGTCATGGTAGTGGTCGTGGTAGTAGTAGAGGTGGTAGTGGCAGTGTAGTGGTAGGGGTAGTAGTAGTAGAGGTGGTAGTGGTAGTAGTAGTAGTAGTAGAGGTGGTAGTGGTAGTAGTAGTAGTAGAGGTGGTAGTGGTAGTAGAGGTGGTAGTGGGAGTACTAGTAGTGCACAACATGTTTTCGTTATTTGCAGGATATTGAGCCAAAGCCTCAGTTGATGATGGTTGGAAACAAACATGACCTCACCGCCCATAGGACCATAGAGATGGACCAGGCCAATGCGGTAACTAGACATGTCACGTGGGGTCAGTGGGAAACAGGAAGACGAGGGTTGGGTCAAGGTGATGGCGGGGACAGGCTGCAGAGGGTGGGGACAGGCTGAAGAGGGTTGGGTCAGGCTGAAGAGGATGGGGACAGCCTGAAGAGGGTGGGGTCAGGGTGAAGAGGTTGGGGTCAGGCTGAAGAGTGTGGGGTCAGGCTGAAGAGGGTTGGGCCAGGCGATGGCAGGGACAGGCTGCAGAGGGTGGGGACAGGCTGAAGAGGGTTGGGTCAGGCTGAAGAGGCTGGGGTCAGGCTGAAGAAGGTGGGGTCAGGCTGACGAGGGTTGGGTCAGGCTGAAGAGGGTGGGGTCAGGCTGAAGAGTGTGGGGTCAGGCTGGAGAGGATGGGGTCAGGGTGCAGAGGATGGGGTCAGGCTGAAGAGTGTGGGGTCAGGGTTGGGAAGGTAGGGTCAGGGTGAAGAGGGCAGGGTCAGGCGATGGCAGGGACAGGCTGAAGAGTGTGGGGTCAGGGTGAAGAGGTTGGGGTCAGGCTGAAGAGTGTGGGGTCAGGGTGAAGAGTGTGGGGTCAGGCTGAAGAGGGTTGGGTCAGGCAATGACAGGGACAGGCTGAAGAGGGCGGGGTCAGGGTGCAGAGGATGGGGTCAGGGTGAAGAGGTTGGGGTCAGGCTGAAGAGTGTGGGGTCAGGCCGAAGAGTGTGGGGTCAGGCTGAAGAGGGTTGGGTCAGGCAATGACAGGGACAGGCTGAAGAGGGTGGGGACAGGCTGCAGAGGGTGGGGTCAGGCTGAAGAGGGTGGGGTCAGGCTGAAGAGGGTGGTGTCAGGCTGAAGAGTGTTGGGTCAGGCTGAAGAGGGTTCGGCCAGGCAATGACAGGGACAGGCTGAAGGGTGTTGGGTCAGGCTGAAGAGTGTGGGGTCAGGCTGGAGAGGATGGGGTCAGGGTGAAGAGGGTGGGGTCAGGGTGAAGAGGGTGGGGCCAGGCTGAAGAGTGTGGGGTCAGGCTGAAGAGGGTGGGGTCAGGCTGAAGAGGGTGGGGTCAGGCTGAAGAGGGTTGGGCCAGGCGATGATAGAGACAGGCTGAAGAGTGTAGGATCAGTGTGATGATTGGGACAGATGGTTGAGGACGGTGTCAAGCTGAAGAGAGTGGGGTCAGGCTGGAGAGGTTGGGGTCAGGGTGGAGAGGTTGGGGTCAGGGTGAAGAGGGCGGGGTCAGGGTGCAGAGGATGGGGTCAGGTTGAAGAGGGTGGGGACAGGCTGAAGAGTGTTGGGTCAGGCTGGAGAGGATGGGGTCAGGGTGAAGAGGGTGGGGTCAGGCTGAAGAGGGCAGGATCAGGGTGAGGAGGATGGGGTCAGGGTGAAGAGGGCAGGATCAGGCGATGACAGGGACAGGCTGAAGAGTGTGGGGTCAAGCTGATGAGGATGGGGTCAGGGTGAAGAGGACGGGGTCAGGGTGAAGAGGACGGGGTCAGGGTGAAGAGGGTTGGGTTAAGCTGGAGAGGATGGGGTCCGGGTGTAGAGGGTGGGGTCAAGGTGAAGAGGGTGGGGTCAAGGTGAAGAGGGTGGGGTCAGGGTGAAGAGGGCGGGGTCAGGCGATGACAGGGACAGGCTGAAGGGTGTTGGGTCAGGGTGAAGAGGATGGGGTCAGGGTGAAGAGGATGGGGTCAGGCGATAACAGGTGATGACAGGGACAGGCTGAAGGGTGTGGGGTCAGGCTGAAGAGGGTGGGGTCAAGGGGAAGAGGGTGGGGTCAGGGTGAAGAGGGCAGGGTCAGGGTGAAGAGGGCAGGGTTAGGCGATGACAGGGACAGGCTGAAGAGGATGGGGTCAGGGTGTAGAGGACGGGGTCAAGGTGAAGAGGGTGGGGTCAAGATGAAGAGCGTGGGGTCAGGGTGAAGAGGGTGGGGTCAGGCGATGACAGGGACAGGCTGAAGGGTGTTGGGTCAGGGTGAAGAGGATGGGGTCAGGGTGAAGAGGATGGGGTCAGGGTGTAGAGGGTGGGGTCAGGGTGTAGAGGTTGGGGTCAGGCTGAAGAGTGTGGGGGTCAGGCTGAAGAGTGTGGGGGTCACGCTGAAGAGTGTGGGGTCAAGCTGAAGAGGTTGGGGTGTGGGTGATGACAGATATGGGAGAGTATATTTATTGAATGAAGATATTACATCATTGTTAATCAAGGATGACAATAAAGTGGTGCCTTACCTCAGATTCTTATGAGCATCATCCCAGTCGTGTCTGCTGCCCCGTATTCACGATAAACATGGATGGGCCATTTTAAGTAATTTCGAGTGATATCAGTTTGTAGTTGGATATTGCACGAAGGAGACGGGTAGGGTTGGGGTTGTAATTGTATATGTATTTCGGTAATATATTCTTCTTGTCTTTGTAGAGAGCGGGTTCCTTTTGTGCTCCATATTATGACGTCAGTGCCAAGACAGGAGGCAACGTCAAAGAGGCGTTTGAGACCTTTATTCGGAAGACATGGCGGAATCTACAACCGGTAAGACCTCAGGTTGATGAATGAGTCGCCCCGTTCTTGTTAGCAATTTTACATGTGGATGAATGCTGTTTATCGCAAAGTCAGCACTTTTCCAGCTACTGCATGGCGACCTGTAAGGTGTGGCGTCTCGACCAGGCAATCCGGTGATCAAGGTTAGCCGCGGCATCAGGGCACGATGCCACGTCAGCGGAGGCACCGAGCCTGCCCAGCTCCTCTTTAGCTGTTACGTATTACGACACACATCATATACTGGGGGGACCCGTGAAGATTCCAGGGTAGAATAGGTTTTCCGCAACCCATGCTTGCCGTAAAAGGTGACTATGCTTGTCGTAAAAGGCCACTAACGGGATCGGGTGGTCAGGCTTGCTGACTTGGTTGATGCATGTCATCGATCCCAATTGCGTCGGTCGATGCTCATGATTTCAATCACTGGATTGTCTGGTCCAGACTCGATTATATACAGACCGCCGTCATATAGCTGGAATATTGCTGAGTGCGGCGTTAAACAACAAACCAACCAACAAACATATACTGGGGACCTACTGTGGACTGAAATATCCACAGGGGTTCAAGCAGGATGCTCATGACGTGGTTATTCATCGCATGTCCACTTGCTTCGCGAACAAACCAGTTCATGCTATTTGTTTCAGAATTCAAACAGAGAAATGAGTAGCTCTATCCGCCTTGAAGAGACGAGTGAAGACGGCGGCCGAATATGCTGTGGGAGCTGACGCCGCCGGAGAAACCGCGACCTGCACCTTCATTCCCCACAGAACATCTCAACAGGAACTCAGACCATCGTTTGTTGGTGCAGTGACTGAAACCTGTGACACCTGTAAAGACGTCACACATCTCGAGCAGGCTCGGTGTCAAACAAACTATTTTTGACAGCACGTGGAAATCGTGCTGGTACATCCACGCCCACTGAATACACGCGCTAGTGTGTCGGGGTGCGTTCACAGTGACGATGCAGCAAGGTAACCTTTACATAAACAATGTGAGGCACCACATGCTGCTAAGCAAAATGTAGCAACTGCTTAGCAAAATGTAGCAACTGTTTAGCAAATTGTAGCAACTGCTTAGCAATATGTAGCAACCGTTTAGCAAAATGTAGCAACTTCTTAGCAAAATGTAGCATCTGCTTAGCAAAATGTAGCAACTGCTTAGCAAAATGTAGCAACCGTTTAGCAAATTGTAGCAACTGCTTAGCAATATGTAGCAACTGCTTAGAAAAATGAAGCAACTGCTTAGCAATATTTAGCAAAATGTAGCAACTGCTTAGCAAAATGTAGCAACTGCTTAGCAATATGTAGCAACTGCTAAGCACAATGGGGGCGGTTGGGTAGCCTTGTGGTTAAAGCGTTTGCTCGTCACGCCGAAGACTGACATGGGTACAATATGTGAAGCCCATTTCTGGTGTACCCCGCCATGATATTGCTGAAATATTGCTTAAAGCTTCATAAAACCAAACTCACTCACTCACTTAGCAAAATGTGGCACCACATGCTGCTAAGCAAAATGTAGCAACTGCTTAGCAAAATGTAGCAACTGTTTAGCAAATTGTAGCAACTGCTTAGCAATATGTAGCAACCGTTTAGCAAAATGTAGCAACTGCTTAGCAAAATGTAGCATCTGCTTAGCAAAATGTAGCAACTGCTTAGCAAAATGTAGCAACCGTTTAGCAAATTGTAGCAACCGTTTAGCAAATTGTAGCAACTGCTTAGCAATATGTAGCAACTGCTTAGCAAAATGTAGCAACTGCTTAGCAATATGTAGCAACCATTTAGCAAAATGTAGCAACTGCTTAGCAAAATGTAGCAACTGCTTAGCAATATGTAGCAACTGCTAAGCACAATGGGGGCGGTTGGGTAGCCTTGTGGTTAAAGCGTTTGCTCGTCACGCCGAAGACTGACATGGGTACAATATGTGAAGCCCATTTCTGGTGTACCCCGCCATGATATTGCTGAAATATTGCTTAAAGCTTCATAAAACCAAACTCACTCACTCACTTAGCAAAATGTAGCAAACTGTTCAGCAAAATGTAGCAACTGCTTAACAAAATCAAACAAACTTTTCAGCAGCATGTGGTGACTCATAATGTTTGTGTAAACGTTAGCATCTTGCTTTATCATGATGTAACGTAATGTGGATTGGCGTCGTACCCCCATCGTCTATATCACTCAAGGGTTCGATCTAAACTGTTTAAATATTTACTCCCCAAAAGAAGTTTAAGAATACCAGTCTGATTGTTGCATGACAGATTTAATATTTATGAAAGAATCGGATGTTCTTTAACTTCTTTTGGGTATATGTTGCCACTCCTTGGCAGACTGCTGTGTTCCTTTCAATTTTATGTGTACATAACTATGGATTCTTATTTATTATCCAACCCGGTGTTTACGACAATGTTCACACTCAACTTTAATCTGAATACCAGTGAGTCTTAGATGACATGTCTTGGTCATATTCTGTGATAACTGTATGAGTTAAGCTCTTGTAAATACCTTTCATTCGTCTCTTTGTTACAAGAATGGCATCATCACTGGTTGATAACTGTCTCAATGTATAAGTTAAGCTCTTGTAAATGCCTTTCATTCGTCTCTTTGTTACACGAATGGCATCGTCACTGGTTGATAACTGTCTTAATGTATAAGTTAAGCTCTTGTAAATGCCTTTCATTCGTCTCTTTGTTACACGAATGGCATCGTCACTGGTTGATAACTGTCTTAATGTATAAGTTAAGCTCTTGTAAATGCCTTTCATTCGTCTCTTTGTTACACGAATGGCATCGTCACTCATTGATAACTGTCTTAATGTATAAGTTAAGCTCTTGTAAATGCCTTTCATTCGTCGCTTTGTTACACGAATGGCATCGTCACTCGTTGATAACTGTCTTAATGTATAAGTTAAGCTCTTGTAAATGCCTTTCATTCGTCTCTTTGTTACACGAATGGCATCGTCACTGGTTGATAACTGTCTTAATGTATAAGTTAAGCTCTTGTAAATGCCTTTCATTCGTCGCTTTGTTACACGAATGGCATCGTCACTCGTTGATAACTGTCTCAATGTATAAGTTAAGCTCTTGTAAATGCCTTTCATTCGTCTCTTTGTTACACGAATGGCATCGTCACTGGTTGATAACTGTCTTAATGTATAAGTTAAGCTCTTGTAAATGCCTTTCATTCGTCTCTTTGTTACACGAATGGCATCGTCACTGGTTGATAACTGTCTTAATGTATAAGTTAAGCTCTTGTAAATGCCTTTCATTCGTCTCTTTGTTACACGAATGGCATCGTCACTGGTTGATAACTGTCTTAATGTATAAGTTAAGCTCTTGTAAATGCCTTTCATTCGTCTCTTTGTTACACGAATGGCATCGTCACTCGTTGATAACTGTCTTAATGTATAAGTTAAGCTCTTGTAAATGCCTTTCATTCGTCGCTTTGTTACACGAATGGCATCATCACTGGTTGATAACTGTCTCAATGTATAAGTTAAGCTCTTGTAAATGCCTTTCATTCGTCTCTTTGTTACACGAATGGCATTGTCACTGGTTGATAACTGTCTTAATGTATAAGTTAAGCTCTTGTAAATGCCTTTCATTCGTCTCTTTGTTACACGAATGGCATCGTCACTGGTTGATAACTGTCTCAATGTATAAGTTAAGCTCTTGTAAATGCCTTTCATTCGTCTCTTTGTTACACGAATGGCATCGTCACTGGTTGATAACTGTCTTAATGTATAAGTTAAGCTCTTGTAAATGCCTTTCATTCGTCTCTTTGTTACACGAATGGCATCGTCACTGGTTGATAACTGTCTTAATGTATAAGTTAAGCTCTTGTAAATGCCTTTCATTCGTCTCTTTGTTACACGAATGGCATCGTCACTCGTTGATAACTGTCTTAATGTATAAGTTAAGCTCTTGTAAATGCCTTTCATTCGTCTCTTTGTTACACGAATGGCATCGTCACTCGTTGATAACTGTCTCAATGTATAAGTTAAGCTCTTGTAAATGCCTTTCATTCGTCTCTTTGTTACACGAATGGCATCGTCACTCGTTGATAACTGTCTTAATGTATAAGTTAAGCTCTTGTAAATGCCTTTCATTCGTCTCTTTGTTACACGAATGGCATCGTCACTCGTTGATAACTGTCTCAATGTATAAGTTAAGCTCTTGTAAATGCCTTTCATTCGTCGCTTTGTTACACGAATGGCATCGTCACTCGTTGATTTGTCACTGCAATATCACAACAGCACAATAAACTATATGCCTTATCACACCCCTTATACAGTGAATCAAATAGGACCGCCTCCGTGGACTAGTGGTAGAGCGTCCGCCCGGAAAGCGGAAGGTCCGAGGGTTCGACCCTGGCCGCGTCATACCAAAAGACGTTAAAATATGGCACTTGTTGTTACCTTGTCTGGCGCTGAGCATTAAGGGTGTAAAAGAAGGACTGGTCGGCTCGGAGTCAGTATACTGTGTCTGAGTGGGGTATTTATGTTAAACTGCGGCATGGTATCTCAGTGGGATAGCACTTTAAATTGGCATCAGTCCGGACTGGCGCGCGCACGCACACACACACACACACGTCGCTATAAGTGCAATAATCTTGGACGCGACGTTAAACCCCATTTAACCACACCTAACCTTGTTCAAATTGATTACATTACGTCATCTGACCAATCGGCTGCCCGGTATTTACATTTTGTGTTGTTTGTTTGTTTATTTGTTGTTTAACGCCGCACTCAGCAATATTACAGCCACATGATGGCGGTCTGTAAATAATCGAGTTTGGACCAGACAATCAAGTGATTGACATCGATCCACGCAATTTGGATACGATGACATGCATCAACCAAGTCAGCAAGCCCGACCACCCGATCCCGTTAGTCGCCTCTAACGACAAGCATAGTCGCCTTTTACGAATAGGTCTTCAACAACCCATGCTTGCCGTAAAAGGCGACTATGCTTGTCGTAAGAGGCGACTAACGGGATCGGGTGGTCAGGCTCGCTGACTTGGTTGATGCATGTATCCTTATCCAAGTTGCGTGGATAGATGCTCATGACAACAATCACTGGATTGTCTGGTCCAGACTCGATTATTTACAGACCGCCGTCATATAGCTGGGATATTGCTGAGGTGAGGTGAGTCTATAGATTCTCCAAAGTCTTAAGATACTTACGTCTAACATCGACAGCACTGCCATGAAGCAGATCTGAAGACGGCGTTGTATGACTAGCTCCATGGCACCACTTTTCAAACATACCAATATGTGTAACACCTGCCCATCACAGCCGCAGTAGAATCTACAGGAACTATCGGGCGGCAGCTGTTCCACCCATGCTATTGTATCAAATTGTCTCCCTACTACCAGTAGGCGGCGTCAGTCGTATCTAATCCCCAGTGAAGAGTTGAGTCACTAAGATCGTTGTTTAGAATCCAAGCTTCTCCATGATGAGATTTCCAAGTTTGTCAGCACCATATCCGTTTTCGTGGGCTTCACTTTTTAAACCTACGTCACTTTGAGGGCACCGCCCGCGTCAATCTGATGACGTTACAATATAAATAAGATATTGTTCAACGTGGTGTTAATAGTTAAAAAAACACGCACGCTCGCACTCACTCACTCACTCACTCACCCACCAAAACTCACTCACTCAGTGTCTTTCACTCACTCACTCACTCAATCACGTTAATGGGTATTCCCTGTTGATGAAGACCGCCTCCGTGGTCTAGTGGTAGAGCGTCCACCCGGAGAGGGGAAGGTCCGGGGTTCGATCCCCGGCCGTGTCATACCAAAAGACGTTAAAATATGGTACTTGTTGTTTCCCTGTCTGGCGATCGGCATTAAGGGGCTAAAACAAGGACTGGTCGGCTCGGAGTCAGTATACTGTGTCTGAGGAGGATATTCATTTTAAACTGCGGCATGGTATCTCTGTGAGCTAGCACTATAAATCGGCATCAGTCCGGACTAGTACAAGCAGCCACACAAACACACACACTTACATGCACGTCGCTATATAAGTGCAATAATCTTGGACGCGACGTTAAACCCCATTTCACCTCACCTCACCCTGTTGATGACAATGGTCCAAACTGACTTCCGCCTTGTAATCAAATTACAGTAAACTACGGTT